ACTGGCCTGCACACATGTGAGAACTTACTTAGCTGTACCATCTCCAACCAACACTGGACCCAACAGGAAGGAACATCCAGAAGATGATAGGGATGAGGAATGTCTCACCTTGAAGGGCAAACTGCAATAGTATATATATATGCAGTAGGAAGGACATCACACCATCTACACAAGAGACTAATCATGACTGGGCCATCTCCAGACATACCAAGAATGTAGGAAAAAAACAATCAGTCAGATATACATACAGGAATACGGCATAGTGCTACAACCAAAACCTGGTAGCATCTGGAATTGTTCATCAGGTCTGAAATAGGAAGTGCAATATTCTAGCAACACCTGCAGAATGCCACCGCCCTACTCTCAGTGGAGTGATATAATTCATCACTCAGGAGGACATGCCTCCATGGTTTACTAACCCAGTGGCTAGGAGACAGTTCAACAAATTACCACAATACCCTATTTTGAAAAGCAGGGCTATCATGTTGACAAAGTCGATCAACCAAAACCTGGTGGCATCTGAAATTGTACATCAGGTCCATGGTAAGAAGAGTTTCAACACCATGGAGCATCAGAGCTGGGAAGCAATCTCTGTCTGATTTACTCATGTTAATCCATGAGTGTACAATCTGGGACAAACATATTCATGAAGCAATAAAACCACTACAGAGAACTACTAGCAGCCCTACAGAATACCCCATCCCTAATAGTGTGCATAACCCAATCATGCAACATAATTGTTTAGTCATAAATAATAATAAATCAGACACAAACAACCAAAACCTGGCAGCATCTAGAAGTGTAAATCAGGTCCACAGTAGGAAGTGCTACAATGTAACTAGCATCAAGCATGGTCACAGGATGGAATGTGCAGATTTAAAAAAAAAAAAAAAGTATACCTGGTCAATCACCACGTGCCACAGAGTGGAATCTACAATACACTAGCAAAAGGCCTCTGAAAAAGTAAGAAAGTTCGAAAGATAAAGCAACCCTTCGCAAAACCAAAACATGAAAATTTAAATAAGTAGTAATGAAAAACTAAGACAGTAGTATAACAAAAAATGTCAACCAATCTGCAAGCAAAAAACAGCACATCTGTACAGTACAACTGCAAATCGATAGAAGTGATGTCTCAGTCCAATTGGTGGAGAGCTGCAGCATGATCATTTATATGTGGATATGCAGAAGAGGGAGGAGGTGGAAGACTAGTGGCGTGCATTGAAAATTTGCACCAATAGAGGGCAGCAGTGCTAGTCCAGAAAAGCTATTTTGGGGGAAGACGTAAGATATCGTATCAGAAATTGCAGTGATGAGGTGCATGTGCCCTCATGTTACTGTATCCAATAGTATAAAACTGGCCTTTACAAAGTGACCTGTCTTGGCTTTGTTTTAGTGGACCAGTATTTTGTAAAATATAGTCACATTTTGGTTCTAATACATCTCATATGTGTATATATATATATATATATATATATATATTATTATTACTATTTACAAATAAGTTCTTAAGTTTCAGTTACTTTTCTTAAAATATAGAACAGTGAATAAAGAAGTATAGAAAACAATGATTTTATTACTTACAACTGTGCAGAAGTTTGTACTCGCTTGCCATATCTTGCATGCTAATAAGCCTTGCCGAATTTTGCACATGGAGGACGTAAAACAAAAATAACCTTATGTTTTATATATGCAATTTGAAATAACAAAAAATTATAAGTTGCTCTAACAATATTGCAGAATTCCACTGTAATTTTTATTTATCAGGATTACTAACTAAACTGTATTTGGGTCTAAAGAAATATTATTTTTCGAACAATATTTTCACTTACCCCTTCCTTCCAAGATTGGAGACAAAAGAAATAATCTTGGGAAATTCCCACCTTCAAGAAGCTGAGAAAACTACGTGGAGGAAATTCTGAGCTTTTTATAGGTTATAAACACAACAGAGTGAATCAGATGTACATAATGAAGTATTTCAAAAAATGGAAGTGGTAGGTGTGGCCTATGTTTGATTCATAAATATAGTGATATCTCAGCAAATAGAAAAAGATAGGAGGTTTTATTTTATATTCTACCTTGTGAATATCATTACTTTGAGTTTCTAATTCCTAAGAAACAATAAACTTTGTATTCGGACATCATAAACATCTAATTTGAACCAAAGCTGCATTCAAAATACCATTTGACACACAAAAATCAATATTTATGATTTTTTTTTAATATTTACTTTTAAAGTAAGAAATAAACTAATGTATAATATGAACATTTTAATTATAATCTACAATTTAATACCAAACTTATTGACATACGTTCATAAGATAGTAGGTCAATAAAATTTTGAATGTGAGTCTACATATGTGATGACATGCCCTTGCACTCAGAATAATTTCATTCTTAGACAAGGCAAGATAAAAAAAAGTGCACAGGAAGTGGGGAGGACAAGTGGGAATGTGTGCAGAGGCACCTATCAGAAATATATTTTCATATTAGGAAAATGTTAACTTAAGAGACAACAACTCATCTCTTCACAGAAAAATGCTAGAATCCAACATTGAAATGGTGGAGGGACCAGCCCAAAATTTTATCTAGATGAGCTCCCATCAGAAAGTGCTCAAAGTGAAGCCCATGGAATGTAACTCCCAATGACAGGAACTACATAGGGGGACATTTATGGGAGACTGCATCTAGTCTTAACCAGAATGTACTCTTTGCCCGGAATGTAAGGAGGGTAAGACAAATGAGTGCCAAGTGTCGCAAGGATGGATGGAATGAGAGCATGACCATCCAAGCACTTGCACACAAGTGGTCGGTGAACCAATATGTGTAGTGTGGTTGGAAGGTTCAATCAGACTGTACATTGTGTGCTCACCTCGACTCTACTGAATAGGCCTTGGCTGCAGGAGGAGAATGCAATAGTTATATGTTATGTTTGTAAGGGGTGACCCATACTACATTGACAGTGTCACCACCAGCAAATTTCTCACCATATTGCACTGAGCCCAAAACATGAGAATTCTCCATGGTCTACCAACCCTGTAGCTAAAAGCTGGTAAGTGGCAAGGATTTCCCGTGCTCAAAGAAGAGAGAGGGAGAATTTGCAATGGGGAGACCTGAAACCCCACTAGACCAACAGCTAGAAAGGTCATTTACTAGAGACCATGCAAAAGATGACCAAGAAATCCTGTTTATAAAAGCTGGAAAGTGCAAGTCAAAGAAGTGGGTAGACACTTCCCTGGTGCTGGTTTTTTATCATGATATTCAATGGAATTGTTATGGTCTGGATAAGACAATTGAGCAAATATATATACCACAAGGATACCCCAAGTGGTCTTACAGAACACTCCATCTTGCAGTTGGCATTGATAGTGCCAATGTGAATGGTTTGAGCACTTTCCATCATCCTGGCTTGATGAAGATTTTGGGAAATAAGCATACCCTGAAGGCAAAAACCAGCCACATGGCTGGATTCTAAATGCAAAAATAGAGAGAAAGGAAAAATAAACATACTTACCCATCACTAAGACAGTGGGTCGAATGAAGAAAAACAACAGGTGGAAGTCAAAATCCTCCAGAAGACAAAACAACCAGATGTTGAAAAAATGAATGATGACCGTATGGGAAGTCATACATATACCCACCAGGAGGATCTCGATCCAAGGCCAACAAAGATGGAAAGCAAAAAAATGAGAAAGGTAATGAATCATGTGTGAAATAGTCTGTAAGCATCCACATCTAGAGAAGAATATTGCAACTGATGAAGCTGACAGAACCATCCAGTAAGGATAGAATGATGAAGGCATACAGTAAAGATGAATGCAATTTGACCGAACAAGTCACAACAGCAGAGGAACAAAGTAAGGAGGAACAGAGCAGAAAAAGTGGAACAGGCTAAGCTGGTAAAGATAAAGAAACAAACTTCTACAGAAAACACCTTTGGAACATAATGAAGCACCTCAGACAAGAGAGGAAGGGAGGAGAGGAAACACAGAAGGGTAGCAAGAAAAACTGCAGTTGTGAGCCAGAGACAGCCCACAAAAAATAGAAAAGGTGGTTGGTACCAGTCAGTCATCTACAAGAAGGATTCTTCATTGTAGCAAATTTCAGCAACTTACCTCTGTGTTAGCATTATCAGTAAGATAATTTGCCTGCCAAAAGTAATTTTGCAAATGGGTAAAAGAACAGATCACCAATATGATAGACAAAATCTTCTCCAATGAGGCCAAATAATGAGTTACCAAGTTAAGGAAAAAAAAAACCCATGAGTTTATGGAACTTATGAAATTCAATTCCTACATCATGGTGTGAGGTGGCATCCATGACAAGAAAATATTTTTTTTTTATATTTCAGTTAATGCAGCATTCCACATAATTGTCCTACGAAACACTATTCACTATACCTTGATGACCTTTCACTTACTGATCTCTAACACAATATTGTAGCATGACAGTGCTCCTTCACCTAATTCTACACATGTTCAACCTTGGTTAGACAACACACTGGCAGGATGATGGATCAGAAGACAAGGTCCCATTCCATGGTCTCCATAGTATTCTTTCTGTGGGTGACACTAATCCAACAAACTGATAAATGCGACACAAAAAGGAGGTTAATTTAAACAGTTTTTGTAATTTAAATACCTTACCAGAATTTTATTGCTTTGCATTGTTTTCAATTCTAATTAAATGTTAACATTAATTAAAAACCTTTTGGTGGCCAAATGGTGCATCACAATGTGCATATAATTTTTCGTGTATCCTCCAGTTTTTTGCAATGGTCTGACAATTGTGTAAATTATGAATCATCCTCTATAGTATTATATATGTAAAAAGAGTTGGATTAAAAAACGAAAAAGATGAATTGTATATTATTGAGATATTTCATATTCATATAATATCATAAATACCTTATGAATCTTTTTCTCCATATAAATGGAGTTTTGTTTGTAAAATTATCAAAATGTAACTAATGTAAAAAATACTATCACAATTTTTCATCTTACCATGTCAGCTACTTTACACAAGGTATCTGAGAGTTCATCAAATATCTGTACCATCTTTCTTGTTCGGTTTTGGCTAGTTGCTTCCCTGACAAGTTTATCCGTTTCCAACATGGCTTCTTCTTTTAGCAGATAAAATCCATCTGGTTCTTGAAGGACTTTGTAGCCAAACAATCCCTGTCATTAAAAATAAAGCCATTACAATACTATATGCAACTGGATTATCACTGATAATTATGTACAATAAAAGTATCAGACATGTTTAATTACATTCTTTATTTTGAGATAAGATGCTGCTTTAAACAATTTTTTAATAGATTCTAAATAACCATATTTTCTTGAGAAATAAAATAAATACTCATATTACACATACATATATGTATGGTACATGTAGAAAATATTTTTACAACAATTTGTGAACAAACAATGCTAATGCATTTGATATGTGTCCAGCCTTGATGGACACTACCAAAATCTACAGTATGTCACAAATATTCAGCGTAATATGTATATTTTTTACTACTATGAAATTCTGTAATATCTTCAAACTGCTAATGTGAGTTCTACAACTTAAAAATAATTTAATTTGGCATTTGGTTAATGTGTATAGAACATTTTTAGCAGATGATTTTTCAGCTACTGTACATTTCTATGCAAAAAATAAAAGCATTAGAGTTCAAAAATTTGTTTCCCTAACATTTTATTGTAATTGGTTAGGAAATTATTCAGTTATCTAGTCATTTCATTAAACTTGAAATAAAAATTCAAATGTTGATCCAAAAAGGGAAAACAAAATTACATCTCTAGTCCTACAACCCTTGATAGCACAGTTTATGAGACATAACACTGAAAGAGAACACAACAAACATTTCATATTTTCAATATACTTTTAAAAATACTGTAGCTTTAGCCTAATTAAAATTAAGCTAAGCATTCAATTTCTATGTATCAGTGAGTGACTAAGTTATTCACTGGTTCTGGGGCTCTGACAACTATAATTATTTGTATACTGTATGATTATATTTATAAATATGTCAACAACAACTGCAAATATGTTTGTGTGTGTGTGTATGTATTAATTGGAATGTCTGCTATGAATTTGAGCAATGGTAGTTCTGATGATAAAGCACTAGCCTCAGTACACTAATGTGAGCTGAGAACATAGGGCTTCAAAGTTGAATCAGCAACCCAATCACATACATACATAAAACAGCATTCTAGGCCAAAAAAGCATTTAATGTGTCATCTGCAGAGCTCAGGTGACCCTCTGGAGTGCAAAGACTACTTGTTGTGCATCAATTTAAAGTACCAGAATGTCAAAAACTTGGTTTGAGTCTAGAACCTCACAAGCCTGCTACTTGAATGACCCTATGCTATATGGCAGTTATCCGGCTCACTGGCTATTATTCACTAGTGTGGCATGTGCAATTTGCTAGTAGTTAACATTTTCCCTGAAAATTTAGGTGTCGAATTTTGAAAACAATAGAAAGACAGGACACAAGTTTGAAACTTGAAAAAGCAGTTTCAGCTCCAGTCAAGACAACTAAAAGGTAATCAACACATGAATTAAGTTGCTATTACCAGTGATGGGGTCAGCACCATACAAGCATTTAAACAGGGGAAGCAATGATTTCCTTAGAAATAAAGAGGGGAAGGTTCATTTGGGAAGAGTAGGGTGGCTATACAATTACAGCTTTGAAGGACTAAATGTCCCCTTGTTGTCTGTATGTTATGTCAAAGTAATTGAGACTATGTACTATTTTTGTGTATATAGTAAAATGAAACCAATTATGCCAGTAAATCAGTAATTGTCAGAATATATTCATTGTCATCATGCATAAAGGTTTTTGAACAACAGGTGCATGACTCTTTTACATATAGCCTTTTGAACAACAACTACTTGACCATTGTGTATACAGTCAAACAAAAGTACTAAACAGCTACTGTGAAAGTAAAATATTTAGTTTTGATTATATCTGGCCACCTAAGAATGTTATGTATATTACTAGTTCCAACTATGAGAACTACAAACTAACTAAACCTAGCCTGTCATAACCTAACATAATCTGACCAAACCTAACCTAGATGACATATACAATACAGTAGACCCACTTCTACCATTCATGGTGAGTTGTGCAATCAGGCAAAAACAGTCAACAATAAATATTTCTATACTGTTATTCATGCAAAAACAAATCAATTTTCACACAGTTTGATCTCAAAAAGAACACATAAGAAAAAAGAGATTGCTCAAGATAAGAAAACCAATTATCACTGGTTACAGTCAAACACCCAGCCATGGGATCTTGAAAATAATTTCTTTACTTATTATGTCACTAAATGCTGTGATGCATAAATACCTATAGATATTGAATGGCCATCATGTACATATCCTTTGAAATGTATCTTTTATTCAATTATCAAATCCCACTAATCACCCAGCTGTAGTTAGATGAAAACTGTGAAGTGTTCGATATTGTAAAGGGAATACATTTGATACACCACTTTTTCATTTCTACTTGTAAGTACAGTAGGATTAGGGTACATATATTTAAGACTTGGTATATAGAATTAATTTGCAAATTAGCCAATTTCATTTTTCAAACAGGGTTATCACACATCATCAATGTTGCAACCAATAACATTTCAGTTTTAATGGTTTATGAATTATTTTTCTTGAAACAGCTTGATTCCATGTGACTAGCTATGGAAGCTGTTAACCTTTATAATTCTACACAACAGTGCAACATGACAATAGACTCAATACCAATATATTATCCTTCTATTATTTGTATTTTGTGAATTTAAACATTAACAACTTGCATGTGCTGACAAAATTCTCATATAGGTTGAATCTACTATAAGTTCTTTCCAAATTAAGAAAATCAGAAAGTTTTCTGTTTCTACTACTTGTATTTGTTACTACAAGAAAAGCCTGCAAATAACCAATAATTATAATAATTTCTGATAAAAATCTTCATAATTGCTAACAAAAACTGACTTAAAGAGCTACAATAAAATTAGTACAAAGGATTGTATTTTTTCTTAGCAACTAAGAGCAACCAAAGGTATAAAAAAACAAAAACCTACCGTTTTTTGGGAAAGCAAGTTGAAACTCGGCCTTTTAATACTAGAACAGTTATTAAATGCTGCAGCTAAAGGGGACCATGTAGCTACACCACGACGTAACCACCCCTGTTTAATTTGATCACCTTTACCTATATGTGGACTTGTAGAACTACAACTATAACTTCTAGTTCTAGCAGAAGTAGACCTGGTAGTATCAGTATTTGGATTTACATAAAAATTTCCATAGTTACTGAAATGTCTGTTTAAAGCTACACTACTAACACAAATTTTAATGCAAGGCTTAGTAAACAATCTTCTTAGCTTTATCTGTTGGTGAAAAGTTCTAAAGCCAATATTAACTGGATAAAAACGCTTCATCTTTAAAAATACAGTTGGCTGTGTATATCCAATCCAAATTTTGAGCCAAAGCGTAAAAATAGTTAATATAAAACAGCTCACGTCTATCTCAGTCTCAGCATAATTATCCTATGTAGTTTACTTCTACATAAATTGTAGTTCGACTTCCTCTTTCTAGACCTAATTCAATTTCAATTTAAAACGCAATACTCTAACACAGTGATCATGGCATAATAGTTAATAATAATAATCAGAAGTAATACAAATTACAATATTCAACTTCAAGTTATTTATAAATATAAGCCTGTATTTTCAGTGCTTGTCTCAACTAAACTTTCAAACTTTACAAAAAAAAAAAAAGACATTCAACTTATTCTGCAATTTGAAAGCTCGCTGACTAACTTATTATTAAAAGTATATAATACTCTTTAAATTATAAATGTATCATCAACGAATAGGCTTAATGTCGTTCAAATAAATAGTACTCGGTCGCATGCTCCCCATTTCTTCCATAGTTTAACATGTGGCGTCCCCTAAAAATATATTCCAATTTATTGTGATTTTACTGTAATATAATAATAAAACAAATGCAGCACGGCTTTCTTGACGCTCTAATTTGTTGGAGTGTTTTGGTAGAGCTTTCGCTTGTCTGGATGCGAGTCACTTTATTGATGCTGTGTATCTAGATTTCCAAAAGGCTTTCGATAAGGTCTCTAACAATAGGCTAATTAATAAGTTAGGTTTGTACGGAAATGAAATAAAACTAAAAAGGTAGATAAAAAGTTAGTTTCAATCGTTTATTGGATTTTGCTCGAAGCTACACAGGGCCTGTTTGCTCTAACCGTTAATAATTTTAAGGTTATCGACCAGAAAAATTTGTCTTTCGCTTTCATAACGCACCTACGGCCCCAGATTGAAGCACCATTTGTTTTTTTGGGCGGTGACGAGATGCAAACCACTGAATATTAGATCCACAGTCTGGCATGCTAAACGTTGAGTCTGCTCCCTCCATAAAGAATTAGCTTGAAAGTACATTGTTTGTTTCTTTGGCACAAGCGTAAAGCTGTATATCTGCCCTGTTTTCACCACAAAGACCAAACTCCAAATCGTAACATTACAAGGGTTCAGTATTACAACTGAGTCACCTTGAAGACAGAAAACAACGTTTGTGATAAATTAGCATACTTATGAGTAGAAAATTTTGACTTTTATTTTTATTATATATATTAATAACAATAGCTTTTGTATACGAAGAAAGCTTTTTAAATTCGTTGATGATAACCAGCTGCTGTGTATGACTAAATCTTCGAAAAATGCTTCCTTAATCAAAAAAAAAACATGGGCAGGTTTGCTAAGAGAGCTAATCTATGGAAAATTAGTCTCAACATATAAGATATTCTTGCTTATCTGCTTGTTTGTTAATTTCCGGTATAAATTCTTTCCGAGGAACTTCAGCGATACAAATCCCTTCTTGATTAAAACCAGTTTATTTTTTTCTCGATACAAATTTTAGTAATACACAGAATTTCCACAGTCACTAATAACCTATGTAATACACGCTATAAATCACAGTGATTCACACACTTTACTTATGGTGCCTACTGTTCGCATGACTCAGT